CATGGTACATGCAAAGTATTTGACACCATGGCCATCCATATTCGTTTATGTAAGTGCTTCCGTTTCATGCTTCATATATGTTTTAGTATGCTATCTTTATCTTTTTTTTAGTATCATTTATATCTCTCTTTATCTCTATGTTTTTGAAAATCTATTTATTTGATGTATATCTTTACCTCTGTGTCTCAATCTGTATTTCCCTTATATACCTCTGTGTAGCGTATGGGAAAGCGGAGGAAGAGAGAAAGAAAGAAAGAGAGGGAGGTAGAAAGAAAAAGAAAGAAAGAGAAAGAAAGAAAGAGAGAAAAATAGAAAGAAAGAGGGATAAAGAAATAGGAGGGAGGAGAAAGAAAGAGGGAGAAAAAGAAAGACAAATCAAGAAAGAGAGGTAGAGAAAGATGGGCAGAGCAAAGGAGAAAGAGAAGAGAAAGAAAGGAAGAGAGAAAGATAGAAATAAAGACAGAAAAAGAAAGAGACGTAGAGAAAGAAAAGGAGAGCGAAGGAGAAAGGGGAGGGAAAGAGGGGGGGAGAAAGAAATAGAGAGAAAGAATGAGTACGATGCTTGAAATAGAAGAGGCTTTACCTCTTAAAGTGAAAATGATTCATGTCTATTTTTAGCTTGCCTGGGGTCTGGTCATGCTCTTCACAGGGGGTGTTACGGACATGATGGACTTCATAGCCCTCTTCTCGACCATCATGGGCATTGTGGTCATCGCTGCCCTTCTCTACCTCCGGTGGAAAAAACCGGAAGAAAGTAGACCCTATAAGGTGAGTATCTATTGGTAAAAGGCATCCTCTTCTTGCAATTGTGAACCTACTCTGCTTAGTCGGCTTATACTTCTAATACCAAACTTTTGTCTGTATCTATCTCCCACACTACTTGACACTACAAGAAAGACAACTCCGCTACCTTAAGCCACTCCCCTTCCCTTACTTTGGGGAACGGCCTTATAGGTGGAGAACTTGAGAATCAAGGGGAAAAAAAATCAAGGGAAAAAATCTGCAGTATTGAGTAATTAAGTGGCATTTTCCATTTATAATAATCGCCCAACCATGCGGGACACCACGCCGACTCTTTTATTTCTGCATGTCGGACTAGAGTTATCCCACGTAACTTTCGCGGTGACAGACAGTGCGGCTTAGAAAAAAATGGGATGGGGGGGGGGGGGGGGGGAGAAAACACGTAATCTTCTCACTAAATAGCGGACTCGAAGACTAGCCTTATAAATAGCGGCGTAGGCTACGTCGGCTCGTAGCTATTATTACCTTGCAGTGAAAATTGTTGTTTTTTTTCTTCTAAGATTAGTTAAAATCTATGAGACGCTTTAGCCTCCTTCAGTTACGATGCATAGAAATTAATAGAATGTCTTGATGACTTGGCACTAGCTATGGTCGGAACAATGTCGCTCACATATATAAACCAATTGATACATTAATTTGTTATATAAACAAGGGGAAAAAATTTTCAGTATTGAGTATTAAAGCGGCATTTTTTCCTTTCTAATAATTTATTTTTTACAATTATTATTCGTATCTGTTGATCTCCACAGACAATGCTGTTCATCCCAATACTCGAGCTGGTCGTGAATGTAGCCGTCTTGGTTTTGGCCATTTACCAAAAACCCAACAAAATGGGCATTGGACTGGCCATTCTATTTGCTGGTATACCGGTGTATTGGTTTGGGGTTCTGTGGAAGAACAAACCCAAAGAGTTCACGGACATTGTTGGTAAGTGCTTTTTTTTTATACACATTTGAAATCAACTCACTATGTCTGGTAAAAAACTAACAAACATTTTTACTTCTACATTCTGTTTGATACCAAGAAGGGAAATTAATCATACAGTATTCACATATATGGCTAAATATGCAGGGTTTTGTCTCATTAGATAATTGTACATGCTATTTCTCCCACATCCATTCTCGGATCAAGTTGAAAATTTATAGAATAATTTATTGTACCTAACAAAATATGAGCGTATTTTAAAAATTATCAGGCGGTCAATTAATTAAAATTAATAAATAATAAGTTTGATATTGAATAAGGGAAATAGATTCTACATTATTAAAAGATATAGTTGTATGTGCGGAGTTATTCACCTTAGATAAGCTTTTTTTGTTAGAATTTTTTTTTATTGTTTTTTTTTAAACTTGACAAGACAAGAGAATGCAATAGTCTATTGTGGGTTAAACCAAGTCCCAGGTCTGTAAGAGTGGCGACGACCTAATGGTCTAAACTGCCCACAGGTTCTGACGTTGCAGGTCAGTGTTCAGGCCTTCTATAACGATTGGTCTCGGCTAAGGCCCTAGCAACAGAGACTGCATAAGGACTGTCGGCCGATAGATAGCGAATAATATCATACTCAAAGATTATGCCAAATAGGACAGAATTCCTTGAAAGCTACTCGTTTTAATGTATGCAAACTGTTGTCATAGTATATCGTATTTGTGATAATGTTCAATGTTAAAATCATGAAGAAGAGCAGTGGCGTATCTGGGGTGGGGGAGGAGGACAATTTGAAAATCCCCCGGGCCCCCACTTGAGGGGGGGCCCCAAGTGAGTGTTTGAAATTGTTTTTTTTTACATTTAATATTGAATATTACGCAAAATGCAGGGGCCCTCAAAGAGGTCAAGCCCCCCTCTCCCCCGAGCCCCTAAATGATGACAAATTCCTAGCTACGCCACTGAAGAAGAGGACGATTTTTAGGCTTAAAATAATTTAAGCTTTTCTAGATGTTTGATGTACTAGATATTTGATGTACTAGATATTTGATGTACACCTCATTTTTTTCTCTTTGCAGATGGACTGACGACTTTCGCTCAAAAACTGTTTCAACTGACCAAAGTCAAGAAATAGTCAACGCTTTTCAAAGGCATCATTAATATGAAAGATCTCAGCGAACGAACAATACTGTCATAATCGCTTTAACACTAAAGAACGATATTGAGTCTCTTAATGACATAACGTCTGCCCTTGTGTACCAAGATATAGAAATAATAATATTTCCTTATTATGTGACTGGAGATGCATAAATATCTTCAAGAATAAATCAACTGTGTATAGTTATTTCGATATAGTGAAAGTCTTGTATACTGATTACCAAGACTTATTGACAAGCTGTGATACTGTGTATATACTATAGTCATTAGTAAGTTAAAACGTGTTTTATAAGGCCACATAGAGGCGTCGCTAGAGTCAGTATCACTAGGTGCGATACACACCTCTTGCGAAGCCATTGTCTCCATATATTCATATAGGTTGATTTTTATAACAATATGTTAATTCATCCTCTGTATTAGTAACGTTTGGCGCTTTCAAAAAGAACTGTTATAAATAAATTGTTATAGATATTTCTGTGTGAAGGGAACCAATTAGAGGATTTTAGATTGCAATTTTTTAAAGTGAACCTTATATACATGTTATGTTGTTGTATTATTAGGATTGACGAGAGAGAGAGAGAGAAAGAGAAAAGAGAAAGAAAGATTAAAACATAGACAAGAGAAAGAGAGATTGAAACATGGCTGCCTGGTCGTGCGGTTTGCGCGCTGGACTGTCGTTCGGATTTATCGACGGTCAAGGGTTCAAACCCTGCCCGCTCCCATCCCCCGTCGTCCTGCGGGAGGTTTGGACTTGTAAGTAAACTAACTTCAACTCTGAAGGAACATCCGAAATATGTAAAACATTTTTAAAACAACATAGGCAAGAGAAAGAGAGATTGAAACATAGACAAGAGAAAGAGAGATTGAAACATAGACAAGAGAAAGAGAGATTGAAACATAGACAAGAGAAAGAGAGATGCTAACAGAAGAGGGAGAAAGAGATTTAAACGCAGAAGAGAAGTAGATGATGAGGAATCTGTGAAGAGAGGGAGTCTAGAAGAAGCAATAAATCTTTGTTCTAAAATGAGTTTTCATTACCTTTTCTCGTACGGACCTAAAATATTATTCTTATAGCGTTCAAGTCCTTATCACTAAACAATCTTCTATAGCTGACTTTATTTGTTGATTTCAAACTGCATAAATAATAGAATGAGATAACCTTTGAGATAGCACTTTCTATACTTGGTTCTCATTATATTTCCTGGCAAAAGATATGATTGGATTTTCATTTGCTTTTAGGTTTGATATGTCAGCAAGTGTGGATCTGGAACTGGTTTAAACTCATCTTGTTATTTAAACCCAACTATTGGTTGTTGTTATATGTATGGGACACTAAGGTGTTCCTATCATCAAATAAAACGAATGTATTCACGATCAATGTATATTGATATAAGTTTTTATGGGTCTTTTTTTTGTCTATTTTATACTTATGATGTGCACTGATGTGTAAAATGTGCTTAAATCCTGCTGGTTAGAATGTTTATTGAGAACCACTGATCATTAAAAAATGTTTTTTTAAGAACCACTGATCTGTAAAATGCTGCTAAGAATGTTTATTGAGAACCACTGATATGTAAAACGCAGCCGGTATGAATGTTAATTGAGAACCAATGATCTTAAAAATGTGCATTAATGCGGATGGTAAGAATATTTTTTGAGAACCACTGGTCTGTAAAATAAGCCTGAGAGAGAACACAGTATCTGTTGTTAAATGAACATTTCCAGTGTCGGCGCAATTCTACAAACATTACTGTTCTAGATTATAAGATAACTAATTTATTAAAGCGGCCAAAGATGGTTCAACGCTTGACCACCAACCCGAAGCTCACGGGTTTGATTCTTAATAGTGACATTGTATTTTTTCTCTCGTCACTTCAGCTGAAGACTTAAACCTTAGAGTTTAACTGAGCTAAAGACTTAAACCTTAGAGTTTAGCTGAGCTAAAGACTTAAACCTTAGAGTTTAACTGAGCTAAAGACTTAAACCTTAGAGTTTAACTGAGCTACAGACTTAAACCTTAGAGTTTAACTGAGCTAAAGACTTAAACCTTAGAGTTTAACTGAGCTACAGACTTAAACCTTAGAGTTTAACTGAGCTAAAGACTTAAACCTTAGAGTTTAACTGAGCTAAAGACTTAAACCTTAAGCTAAAGACTGCTATTAAGCAATTGAACTAAACATAGCTAGGTTGTTGAGCTAACGACAAGACTTCTTAGTCAACCATCGCCATTTAGTATGCAGATCAAGATCCCTTCAAATATAAGAAAAAAAAAATGGCTTATACTTATTCAGAATGCATGTGTAGTTTAATTCTAATTCTAATGCTGATGTAAATATTTTGATTGCTTTCACCCTGTTAATGCAATAAAAATAATTATTAATAATTTTGAAATAACTTGTTCTATATCTTATCCATTCTATCTATCTATCTATCTATCTATTAAAATTCATTTAAACAGTGATCACCCCGATACTCTTCCCCACCCCACTGCTTTCCAACTGCCCCACCCCACTGCTTTCCAACTGCCCCACCCCACTGCTTTCCAACTGCCCCACCCCACTGCTTTCCAACTGCCCCAGACCAGTAATAGGATCATAGAGCATCGAGACAGCTAAAAGCATGACATTGTGCCAAACCAAAACAATTGGTAAACATTATTGTAATTTAGTGTTGTTCGTCTAGATATATTACAAATTTAAATACGTCACTCATCCAAATCCAACTACCCTTTAATACAAGTTTAGTTGGGTTTTTTTTTAAAGTATTTTTTCAAAATGTTGTTCTTGTTTTAAACGCTACAGCTGTAAGAACTAGATCTAGATCGTAGACGTAGAAATGTAGAGAACGGCAGAGACGTTTATTTAGATTTTAGATGCTAGTTAGGTTGAAAGTTAAGGAAATAGCATTTCACCCGAAAGAAAATTTTCAGTGATTTTCACCTTATTTGGACTTGAGATAAAAATACACATTCTTAGCACTATCGTCATCCCAACAGCAACATATGCATGTGAGACGTGGAAGTCATCTGTCAAAAATTGAGAAAAAGACTAAATGTGGCTCAACAAAAATGGCTGAGACGAATTTTTTGGGAGCCAGTTACACAGATCGGGTCTCAAACAAGGAAATCCTATGCCGAACTGGGAGTCGAACACTTAGTGAGGTTTTGACAGGGGTTTGCGGGACATGTTCTCCGACAAAATGAATTACGCATACCAAGAGTTGCGATGACATGGAGGCCTATACGAGGAAAGCGCAAACAGAGACGTCCTCGTATAATATGGCGCCTCATAACAGTGGACACCAGGTGGGAGGAGGCTTCAGACATTGCCAATGACAGATCTTTGTGGAGACAGTTTGCCGCCCAATGCGCCGAACGGCGCGGGAGGATCTAAGTCTAAGTAAATAGTCAGACTTGGCAGAATTTAAGTCATTGGTTAATATGTATGACTGAATGCATGACGCGTATGACGTAATCATCTTCTTTTTTGAAGTAACGTCTGTAGTATATAAGATAAGAAATAAAAATCGAAGCCAAGGCATTCGTATATTGAAAAGGAGCCTATAATTTCAACCTAATACAATTTTTGTTTCCTTCCTGGAAAATATTGACAAATTTGGTTGACATCTCAACATCGCTTCTAATCAATCAATCAAAGATCAATGGATTACATTTTTTTTTCATTTTAATCAAATTTGACGAATTGACATAAAGATGTTGATGATTAGTCTCGAGAACTTTGATGATTACTAGATGACCCTGAGGATTTACTATATGACCTTGGTGATTTTATTAGATGACATAGATAATTCTACTATATGACTTTGGAGATTTCTTACATGGCCTTGATAATTTACTAGATGACCTTCATGATTTACTAGATGACCTTCATGATTTACTAGATGACCTTCATGATTTATCTGAATCCTCTTAATGACGATATAGAGAAGTGAATTGTTAACAATAGTGAAGTGCATAGTTCTGCACAGGGCCGGTCTTACGAATTGCGAGGCCCAATTTAATGTATGCTTACGAGTTCCCTACAATAACAACTATTACTTTTAGCTAGATCAGTATATCAACATGTATTATACAACATGCATAGGAAGCAATAGCCGCCAGAGGGTTAATTAAAGTTACGTCAATCGTAAGATACACTAAATATGTTAACCCTTTAAATCCTACATCTATAAATGCCTGTGACAAAAGCCATGCCTGATAGTAATATGCTTATTATAAATTGCGGAGCTCCTGCTAGGAGCGGGACCCAATTTGGAGAAATCGTTCAAAATTGGCCTAAGGCCGGCACTGGCTCTACAACCTTTAAGCTATCAAAACAATGTATCCACTCTAATGTTATGGACGAGCTGGATCCAGACGCATGCACGTTTAAATCCAAAGTTGTTGTTTTGTTTTTTTTAAACTGACCCAGTTTTTCGTTGTAGCAAAGTTCCACAAGTGAATTGTCTGGACTTGTTTTTCATTTTCTCTGGGGTTGGTTATCTTTTTTTTTTTCCCCCGCTCAAAAGTTAACTTCCGGTAACAACAATGGCGTCCACTTGAGTTTGAATGTCTCCAAATTAAGAAATGTCTGGAGCTATGTCTCTTGATTTAATTTGTTCTGCTAGTGATGGGCGAATCCAACCATTTCAGAATAAATTTTTATCAAAAGCCGATAAAATCTTGTTGTTTTTTTTCCTCCTTAGGCCTACTTTTATGTTAATCGTTCTAGATCTTTCTTCTGTGTGTTTTATTTCTTTCTCTAGTTATTCTGATTTTTTTTTATAGTAACGCTACAATTTTTTAATATTGAAAAACATGTTTTAGTATTCTATTTCAAGAAGGAAGTGTTTTTTTTTTTTTTTTTATTATTTGCATTGACCTAAATATGTCAAAAAGTAGATTTGTGATTCTACCGTAATTTGAATAACTCATCGAGGCATTAGGAGGCGCTGTGGCTGACTGGTTAAGCGCTGGGCTTTCAAGCAAGGGGTTCCGAATTCGAATACTGTTGAAGAATGGGATTTTCTATTTCGGGGCGCCTCTGAGTCCTCCCAGATCTAGTGGGGTGCCTGACTTAAGTTGGGGAAAAGTAAAACCGGTTGTTTGTTGCACTGGCCACATGACACCCTCGTGGGCGACTGAAACTGATGACCTTGACACCATTTGCCCGATAGATCGCAATATCCGAAAGGGGAACATTATTTTTATCATCGAGGTATGTATTGAACATGTTATGATGATATCAGAATTATGAGAAAAACTTTCATTCAATTTGTTTTAACGTGATGGAATTAACTAATTATATATAAAAAAAAAAGATTGATCTGCCAGGCAGACTTGGGATAACATTGGGCCTACTGGATAGCTCTTTGGTTGATGATCGTATTAGCACTAACCTCCATAATGGTGCAGAACACAAGCCTCACTACAGCTTTGGGTTTTTCTTGGTTTTTTTCTTCTTTTTTTTTTCTTTGTCTCTTTTTTTCTTGCAAGCTTTTTTTTTATTTAGGATACCTAAGTTTTTTTTTATTTAGGATACCTAAGTTTTTTTTTATTTAGGATACCTAAGTTTTTTTTTATTTAGGATACCTAAGTTTTTTTTTATTTAGGATACCTAAGTTTTTGTTTATTATTTTTTGACGTCAGTTGTCGAGATATCTACATCCTAAGAATCTTTGGGCCTCTTTTCTTTGCTTCTTTGTTTTTTTGGGGGGGTTCTGCCGCGTTTTGGGGACTATTGGCCTCTTTATTGGGCTCATATATATATATATATATATATATATATATATATATTATTAAAAGGTACAATTTAATTACAATTTAAAATTAATTAATTACAAAGTGTCCCAACATGCGAATGAACGAAATTACATTAAGGTCCTCATAGCAATTTATCGTTCTTAGTTGCACTATACATGATATTACTATAAGTAGAATTGATTTTTGTAAAACAAACATAACTTAAACAAAGAGAAAATCAAAACAAAGATAAATTATTTGAACAATTAATCCTTTGAGAATATTAACCTTTAGAAGTGCCTCTTGAATTTTGGACAGGTTATTCATGCTACGGTTGTATAAATATATTATATTTATTATATATATATAATAGGACAAATTAATGTTTTAATGTAAAGTACTTGCGATATATCCATTGAAAATGTTAACAATAGATAATTGAATAGAACAATCAAATAATACACGTTCCACATTAAATAATATTTAAACATTTTAACATCTTAGTCACATTTTTAGCGGCCCCCGTAAGGGGAAAAAGCCGCTATTAGGTTTGTGCAAAATGCCCGTCTGTCCGTCTGTCACACTCAGATCTCGAAAACTAGAAGAAATATGAATAATATTATTTCATCATTAAATCCTCTTGAAACGTTTAGGGGCAACGGCTACTTTTGGTTTTCTAAAAGCAAACCGTTTTATTTATAAAATTAATTATGCAAGAGATTTTTTCATAAAAATACACCAATTCTAAAACAATTACGTAAATGTAAGGAAGGCAATGTTACACTATGCTAACAGAGGCATAAATCATGGTGTATTTTCAGTATCACCAAGTCAAATATATTTATAAAATGTACAGGAAATGTTTACAACAAATATAAAATATACTTAAAGATGTTTTTTCTGGTTAACTAGCTGCTAAAATTAAAAGAAAACATTTCTGTTTGTTTATAAAGGCTAACAATGCACTTTGTATGTAAATATCATGCACATTTCTTAAAATGGACTTTTTAAGCAGCGACTTTCGTGCAGTAGCGTAACGTCGCAACATGCCTAGATGCCAAACCAATTCCTTAAACTTTTTTAAAAAATCAGATTTTATTTATTTTTTGTTTAGTGCCCCCATCCAAATAAAAGAAGCTTGATTTTGTGCGTGTCTGTTGGTCGGTCTGTCCGTCACGATTAGATTAACAAATAACACTAGAGGCTATTGTAAATCTGATTTAACCTTTAATTTTTCATTCAGAAATATTGCACTAGTTTAAAGTAACTATAATAGATTGTTCCGGATGTTTTGTAAAAAAAAAACAACAAATCAATGCCAATGAATATTTGTTTGCTCTTCTAAGTTATTGTAGATTTTATTTCCATGCTTAAACGTTGCAAGAAACACATGATCTTTAATATATTGTTCCGTTTTTTTAATGTAAATAGCATATAAATGATAAATAAAAATATTTATACTGATTTATATTTATTTCATGAACTATAAAGTTGTTCCGGATATTGTTTTATAAAAAACAAAATTTATGTCAAATAATTATATTTTTTTCAAAAATATCGACAATAGGTTATTCAGGATTTTAAAATAAGAAAGTAATTTACTAGAAACGATTATTGAAAATCAATTTTTAGACTTATTTTACAGTTAATTTTTT